CCCCAAAACCCCAAAACCCCAAAACCCCAAAACCCCTTTGGAGATATCCAATGTTGAAAATTATTGCTCAGAATTGGTAACTTCTTGACCCGAAGTCATGGCCTCAGCTTCTTCCTTTAGCCTCTGTGTTTCTTCGTAATTTTCGAGTTTTTTGAGTAAGATTTTTATATCAAAAAGAGCCCAAGAGATCATATTCTGGAAATGTTTTAAAGTATCTGGTCCCTGTAAGTTCAAATTTATGGTCCTCCTTTCATAATTATAAAAGAAATCATGCTTTGGAAGGAACTGCTGGTTTCTATATCTATCTGCTAGATGAGTCTTGGTCATGAACCCATAATATGCTGCTCTAACCCAATCCATCATAGTGATTGGCTTATAATGCAGGTAATTATCCAGGTCATATCTTTTATGCACATTAAGATAGTATATAGCAATTCTGCTAGCCTCTTCCAGCATTTTCTCACTGTATTTCACCTCTTTGTTCTTAGCATCAGGTTTATTTTTAAAGACAAACTTGTCTTTTCTTCGTATGTAGGGTCCAAGCAGAGGATTGTCAAGTAAATCAATCCGCTCTTCCTTGAAATTCAATTTTTCAAAGGCCATGTTGCCGTCCATGTCAACATGGTACATCATTTTGGCCTGATCGTCCCAGTTCGAATATGTAAATGTCTTAGGAAATCCTCTGGCGAGCCTGGAAATTTCCCAGTAAATGTAATGCTCTCTCCTAACCTTATACACAAACTTTGGGATAAGAATATTAGGCTGCTTCCTGACCTCATACTCCGATTGCATGAAATTATGTTTCACGTATGAAGTTCCATACCAGACAAGGAAGAAGGCAATAATATGGTTATAGTAGTTATACCTAGGTGTCCTTATAAGATTCAATTTCTGAATCTTCCTTACACCTCTCAAATATTGTTTGACATTTGTGGAGTACTCTAAGTAGGATCAGATATAGAAAATCTTACTCATATCCGAAAATCTTGACCGATACCGTCCCGGCTTCGATCCCATATTCAATTTTTATAACCATAAATGGGGTTTTGGGGTTTTGGGGTTTTGGGGTTTTGGGG